TTTATCCTCACCTGAGGATATGCTTATTGATTTTAGAGAGGGACAGAGAGAGGAAGAGAAACATTGGCATGAGAGAGAAATATCTATTTGCTACCTCTTGTATGCATCAAGACCGGAAATCGAACCTACAACCTAGGCATGTGTCCTGACTGGGAATTGAACCCTTGATCTTTTAGTTTACAGGATGATGCTCCAACCAACTGAACCACACAGGCCAGAGCACTTTTCACTGTTGATCAAAGTTGATCAATTTTGGGAAAAAAATTAAAGCAAGTATGCAACACAAGGCACACAAGTTTTCTCATCTTCCCCTGTATTCCCACATTGCCTTGCCTCAGAGCAACCACAGTTATGCCTCATGCATATCCTGGTAGGCTCTTTCTGAAGTGGTACATACTGTTTTCTCAAAAAAAAAAAAGTGACATGTGAGGCTCTAACTTTTTCTCAGAAACCAGAACAATGTGCTTGGTCAGGGGCAGTTGACCAAAAAGACCTAAGATGGTGAGAAAATATTTGGGAGGCTGAGAGCAGGTGAGGTACTAACCGCTCTAATGGTTCAGGAAACTATGAAGAACCTGGCACAAAGATAGAAGTTGTGTGCCCACACTCTCTTTGGGTGGAGGGAGATGGAAGTCAGATCCCAAATGGCTTTGAGTGCTGTGTGGAGCAGCAGGTCTGACAGGACAGGTAACAGAGAACAAGCAGAGTTTGAGAGCAGTCCTGAAATGCACCATCTAGGGAAGCTCAGGTTGAGTGGACAGAAGACTGGAAGGTAAAAGAAGGATGGAGCCTTAGAAACAGGCAAAATTAGCAAAGGCCAGAATCATATCAGAGGAGCTAATCACCTGGATAGGAGTGGCCACTTAGCATGCACATGTTTGCACCAGGCCCATTTCTTTATGCTCTGTAGTGTCGTTCTAGAGTAGTGGTGTAATGCCGTTCTAGGCTTCAGCATAACCAGGAGGGCTTGATAACTTGCAGAAAGCCAGGCCCCACCCAGAGTTTCAGATTGTGTTGGTCTGGGATGGACCTAAGAGGTTGCATTTCTGATGAGTTATCATCAGGTAATGCTGCTGCTGGTCCAGAGACCCCACTTTGAGACCCACTGCCTTGGGGAATTAAAAATGATCCTTAAACCCTTATAGCTACCCATATGTCACACACTATAGTTCTGCCCATTGAAAAAGCAGCTTGATTGAAAAGCAATGCTTGCCACTGTGGCTCCTATTTGAGAAGATTGACTTTTCTCTGTCCTAACTCTGTCCTTGCCTGAAGTTCCCAGGGTGACATCATGAGGACCTTCTGTATTTGGTCAATGTCAGCAACCCTGGAGGGGACTGCATCTTTCTTTGAGAGCCTTCTCATCCCAGCCAAGGCTCACCATGGAAAATTCTCCATATTTTCATCTTAAGTCAATTCATTTGAAACATCCATCTATGCTACCCAGCTGTCTTCATGGGGTGGAATGATTAACAAACTTCATTGTATTAATGTAGACTCTGATTAATCAACTTGCAGAGAAGAAGTTATCCTCTCTAGATGAAGGAACAGAGGTCCAGTAGTTAAGTGCTTTGAACAAAGCGACTTGGCTAGGAAGAATGTCTCCAAGCTGCGGTTCAACCTCCTTATTTCCAAGGCCCATGTCCTTGCCTCTATTAGATTCGGGAGCAGTGTTAGAGAGGAATTCTCACCTTAATTCATAAACCATTTAGACTAAGAATGAGGCTAAGTGTATTCTAGCAGAGACCACTACCTGGGGTCTTATGTGACCTACTTTGTGAAGCATGTGTATGGCCTAAAAACAATAATGATCAACTTAACTAATTTAAATCCTGGTTTATGAAACTATTGGCAGACCACCCCCACTTTGCAGCACCCCTGGAAGGCAGCATCCCTGCATTAGAGATGGAGAGTCAGTAATCTGCAGAAGGTAGCTGAGCACATACAGATGCTGCCAGATCACATCAAAAAGGAAGGTGCCAGGTATGGACTTCTAAAGCCCCAGGTAGAAAATGTAGCCTAGGGAAAAAAATACGAAAAGGGCATTCTGTCAACAAATAAAACTGCTAAGAAGTTCAAGTCTTGGTTCTATATAAATTATGATAAAAACTATGTTTACAAAGCTTGAAGCTGCACATGTGTTATTTCCTATTGCTGCTATAACAAATTAGCACAAACTTAGTGGCTTTAAATGTCACAAATGTATTGTATTACAGTTCTGGAGGTCAGAAACCAACATGGATCCCACTGAGCTAAAAATCAAAGGGTCAGCAAGCAAGGCTATATTCCTTCTGGAGTCTCCAGGGGAGAAAGCATTTTCTTGCCTTTTTTGGCTTCTAGAAACCACCATTCCTTGGCTCTTGGTTGCCTTCCAGCAATTGCCATCACTCCAACCTCTGCTTCTTGCCTCATATCTCCTCCTTGGACTCTTTTAAGGACCCTTGTGATTGCCCTGAAGCCACCCAAATAATTCAGGGTGAACACTCCATCTCAAGGTCTTTCACTGAATCACAGAGTCCCTTTGCTGGGGAAGGTAACATGGCCACAACTGCAAAAGGATTAGGACATGGACTTCTCTGAGGCACCAGCGTACTGCATACCACACCACACAACTTTGGAAATACCATCTCTAACAAATTATGCAACACTTAAGTATTCCCTCAAGTTCATTCTTGGTATTCATAGGGAAAATTTTTCTGTCAACATGAAGGTGAGAACTCTGTTAAACTTCAGCAAAATGCTTCATTCCTTCTCTCCTTAAGTCCAAGTGCTAAAAACTCACTCTTTAAACCCATCATGGTGCTGAGGGAGTTTTTAATTTCTAGGTAACGACAGTTAAAGTTATGGTTTCTATTCCTAAATGGTTTTAAAAATGCAATGTGTTTTGTTAGATAGTAGGAAATAGTCACCTAAATGGAGAGATTTCATTAAGTAATAAGAAGTGTAAACTGTCTTTCTTGTTTTATCCTGATACTACTCCCAAGTCAATAATTATACAAATGTATAATGTATATTTATTTTATTAAATTCTTTAGCCAAAAGAAATATAAAAGCACCACTTGTCTTAGAATAACAATAAGAACCAGCTTTGATCAGTGCTTGCCATGTGCCTGGTACTGGCTAAGCTAGCTCCATGGCAAGTTTGATTCCAAACTGGTTTACTTGGATCAGTAGTTAAATCCAATCAACCCATGAATGATGCTAGAAACATCTGACCACTCAAATATGCTGATTTACTATCTGGATACCAAGAACAGACACAGTTGTACCAGAATAAACAGACTCTCGTGACAGTTGAAATTTGAGTTCAGATTTAAGGCTCAACATAAGCACCACTTCTGCTTTCTAAGATAGAAATCCTGTTAACACAGGTGTTTTAAGATAAAAAAAATACTGACTACAGAATTACATATAGTAAATAGCTCTGAATTCTGCAGAAGAGTTTATCAACTTCTGCCCTGTGATATATGCCTTATAAAAGTACACCTGTCAGAAAATAAAAAACTTCCTAAGTTATGCTGTATACTCAGATTTTTTCTTGAGTGAGCTTAGAAATATTATTTTCCATAATGTAGTTCTGGGTGTGATGGGTTATAACAAGACCTAAGTTGTCTAATTGTTTTGGTCTCTTTTCTATAATCCTATTTATGTTTGAACTAAACAAAACCTTTGCCATTATTATTTAACAAACAATCAGTGTTAAATAAAATTTAGCAAAAGAAAAATTATAGATGTTACCTCAGCCAAACCAAGTCTTTCCTTGAAAACCGAAATTCTGAGCAATTCTCAGAAGGCATGATTGCAGTGAAGATCTTGCCTATCTCTGTTGAGTTTGAGTGTTCATACCTCCCTCCTGTTTTTCTAAAGGTTCATTGCAAGGACCAGTCTGTGGGTGTCAGTTTCTTCTGTGTCTGGTCTTTGGGAGACAATAGTAAGACAATATTTTATGGAGTCCAAGTAGGCAGAACACTGTAAGGTCCTGCCATGTCCTCAAGAAGACAGACCACCACTGCAATGAAACTGGGCTTCTAATACTGCCAACAGGCTTTACAAAACATGTGTCCTAAAATCCATGCAGTTCAGCCTAATGGGCAGAAAGTGGCTAGCAGGAGGGGCAAATGCAACTAGCAAGTAGCAGAGCCAAGATCTGGACATGTACTTGATGACTTGTTCCTTTGGAATATGTATTTATTCAACAAACATTCAATTTCCACTCTGTGAAAAGCACCCTGCAAGTTGCTGAGGACTCTGTGGTAGTAGAATTTCCCAATGAATGATGTGTCAAGCCCTGGGCTAAGGCTTTTCACACAGAACATTTACAGCAGTCCTGTAAGGTATGTGGCATTATCTTCATTTGATAGGCAGGCTGCCCAAGGTCACAGCTGGAAAGTAACCAGACTGAGATTCAATCATATGAACCCATGCCCACATTTTCGTATGATGCCCCTCAAAGCAGCCCATTCCCACAAGGAAGTCTAACTGAGAAGAAAACCAGTCTTTATTTTTATTGTTGTTTAAGTACAGTTGATCTCATTTCCCTACACTCCCCCTACCCCTGCCATCCCCACTGCCCACCCTTGATCCTACCTGCCTTTGATTTTGTCCATGTATCCTTTATAGGTGCTCCTGAAAACCCTTCTCCCTCCCCCCGCCTATTATCCCCTCCACCTCCCCTCTGGTTACTGTCAGTTCATTCTTAATTTCAATGTCTCTGGTTATACTTTGCTTGTTTGTTTGTTTTGTTGATGACATTCCACTTATAGGTGAGATCATATGGGAAAACCAGTCTTTTAGTGTTGAGGAATCTCCTTCCAGAACTTTCGTAGGCAAGAAGAGTTCAGAATCAGAGCCCTGATTCTGAGATCAGGGCAGTTTATTTTCCTCCTAAAGACAAGGACTAAAATAGCATTACTGTTCTTAAGTGCACCAAAGTGAAACTATCTGGTATAAGGCCATGGGGCCATGCTGAGCTGGAGAAGTGCAAATACCCACAGCAAAACATGACCAGAATCAGGAAGTATGGCCCCACCAGAGGAGCGAGTGGAGGCCTGAAAGACCACATGGGCCAAGAACGGAGTTCCTCAGGTAGAGTTTCAGTTTTGTTTATTGTGTCATGGGGCCCTGGACTTGCACATAATAGACCCAGGAGAAAGGGCCCTGAATGGGGAACCATGTAGGAGTTTGAGATGGGAAGCCTTGGTGAAAACTTCAGCGTACTGTCCAGCTTCTGTGGTCAGTTTCTGCTCTGAACTGACACAGAATGGTCTCTGGTATCAGTGAAGTGAAGTGATAAAACTTACTTATGTAGATCAGTCAGACAACTCAACATCACAGCCCACCCGTGGTTCTCAAAGTGTGGTCCCTGGACCGGGGTATCAACATCACCTTAGAACTTGTCAGAGATGAAAGCTCAAGGGGCCACCCCAGACCTATAGGAACAACAACTCTGGGCATATGGTCCAGCAACCACTTCTCATAAGCCCTTGGGGTCATGGTGAGGTACATACCAGTTTGAGAAACACTGCTGTGGAATCACTAATTCCTAATAGAGGCAAGGTGAGGCAAGGGGGCTCCGGGGACCCTGAGAACAGGATCTCAACAGCAAAGAACTCTAAGATGTGGTCTATGAGGGCTGGAGAGGGGGAGGGAGATGATTCCCCATGGAAAGAGGCCTAGCATGTGACAGCCACTGATAATTACAGGGCAATGTGTTGGTGTAGGAAGTAATACAAAGAAATGTTAAGACTTGAGACAAGACTATGGTTCAGTTTTTGTCAGAATTCAGGGGAGACAGAAGATCAGGGGCTAGGCAGTGGGGATGAAGGGCACTAAGTTAAGAAGATAGTCAATGCCCTTTGTTTGTACCAACTCATTTAGGTTCTCACCCTTTGTGTTTTCGCTCTTCTAATAATAGGTCCTGCTCTGGTAGGTATTGGAAAAGATGTAGAGATGGCCAGCACATGATTCTTCTGTGAAAGTGGGACAAAAATATAAACTGTTATTGCACTGTGCTAACATAGGAGGTCAGAGAAGGCTTCATGAAGGGAAGGAGGGCATAAAAGGAGCATTCCTTCTAGAGGATTTGCTGTCTTCTGCATTAAGGGCTTTGGGTGGGTATACAAGGTGGTCAATGAACAAATGTTTGGGTATCATGGGAGCCCTCTATGTATGGGGTAGGGACTGGAAGAAGAATGGGTCTAGTTAACAGGAATGGTAGTTGAATCCTCAGTGTTTTAGGTACCCATAAGCATTTTGTATTTCCATTATTTAATCCTCACCAAATCCACTGACCTTGTGAGATACTAAAGAACATGCTAAAAGTTTGAATTTTATTCTGTGGGCAAATAGGCAGCCTTTGAAGTGCTTAAGAAGAAAATGGCTTTGGCACCATTTTCTGTGCCTCTGGTTCTCTGCTCTGACTGCACATGAGAATTGCCCAGAGTTAATTAAAAGGAAATTCCACTGCCAGGTCCTACTCTGGATAAGACACATGGTCTAGGGCTGGGACCCTGGAGAGGTCTGGAGCCATCTGGAATCCCATCAACCTTTTGGGCACCAGGGACCAGTTTCATGGAAGACAATTTTTTCCATAGACCAGGGAAGGGGATGGGGAGTGGGAGGGAGACAGAAGACAGAGCTCAGGCAGTAATGTGAGTGAAGCTTTGCTAACTCACCTGCCTCTCATCTCCCACTGTGCAGCCTGGTTGGGTGGGGTTGGGAGTGGTTTGGGACCCTTGGACTCAACATATCTGACTGCCAGGAAAAGTCAGAGGGTCTGAGTTTAGGCTCAACAAAAGGTATGTTAGTTACTTGACTTTAATAGTGGCATCTTTGTTTTTCTTTCAGGAATGTCCAAACCACAGGTAAGTACCCTTTTTTTTTTTCCATTTGGCTTCATCTTATAAACTTTAGTCTGTTTTGCTCCTAAATGTTCATATTTGTGTTTCATTTACATAACAAATTTGTATCATGCATCTAACATGAGTGAGAGGACAATCCTGAGTTTCTGTGTGACATGCCTTCTCTTTAGGAAATGCTATATTTAGCCCTTCTCAGACTAACAGTAAAACTAGATGCTTTGTTTCATTGTCTCTGTGTGGTGTGTAAGGGAATAGAAATATAGGATTTTAAAATCCTATATTCTACCTCTGGATAGTCACTGACAAGTTTCTAAATAGGTACAAGCCACTTTTCATGCCATTAGCACTCATTTGTAAATATGGGCCAATGAAGAGCATATTTTAACCCCTGACTGTTTCTTTTTGTCAGAGTTGCTTTGGGTATCCCCTGAGCATCTTCTTCATCGTGATCAATGAGTTCTGTGAAAGATTTTCCTACTATGGCATGAGAGGTAAATATTTTCAACATCCCACCCCTTTGCATGAAGGGGGCCAGATACCACAGCCACTCCTAACTGTGTTTCCCTCCCTTCCCCCTGTCCACTTCGGAAAGCGCTCCTGATTTTGTACTTCACACAGTTCATTGGTTGGGATGACAATCTATCCACTGCAGTCTACCACTCGTTTGTTGCTCTGTGCTACCTGACACCAGTTCTCGGTGCTCTCATTGCTGACTCCTGGCTCGGAAAGTTCAAGTGAGTTGTTCCAACCTTTTTATTCACTAACAAGACAAAACGTAATTACTAGCTTTGTGATTTGAGATCGTGGACTCTGGGAGCAAAGAATTGGGAGCATAAAACTCTTAGGAGTGCATGCTGGACTCTGTTTCAGTTAATCATCTTACTCCCAGAGTTTGGCACTGTGCCTGGCATTTAGCAGTGACTGCAAATAGCATTGGTAGATTTGTTTTTTTCCCTCCTTCAGACAGGGATAACATCTTTGTCTCATCTCGAAATAGTAGCAGGAATACTGTGTATCATTAATAATGTGTGGGGCACTGAGTTAAGGGCAGGGAGAACAAAGAAACTTCCTAATTTATGTCCCAGTTGCCAAAAGGCTCACACTTCTCCATGAGTAGAGAGGACATGTGACACTCACCCAGTCCTTCAGGAAGTGCATTCAATAGCTGATTATCAGGAAGTTCCTAGGACTCAATAAGCAAGGAAGTGGAGGCTCTTCCAGGCTAAAGACATGAAGTGCATAGGAGCAGGAAAATTCATTCTCAAAGTAATTTAATACAGCACAAAAATAACCAATGGTCCATTCCAGCCCAAATGCTACCAGGCAGAAAATAAGTATCTGAAGTTTTAAGTACTGATTCCAATAGGTTAAAGTGAACACTGAGTCTTTCAAAGAGTTCAAACATGAAATGCATCTTCCTCCTTGCTTTGGCTCCTCCAGCCAAAACTTTGCTCTGTACTTGCGGGCTGGTCAACAAATTCTTCAGCAGGTTGCCTTTCTAAAAGTTACTGGTTTTACTCAAGTTTGAGGAACAAATATATTTGTGTCTGGGCTCTTGAAAGTTTAAGGTAGGGGACCTTATTGTGGTAGAATAGGAAGTGGGCTGTACAATTAACTTGGATTTTCTTAACCCCTTGAAATGCAGGACAATTGTGTCACTATCCATTGTCTACGCAATTGGACAGGCAGTCACCTCGGTAAGCTCCATTAATGACCTCTCAGACTTCGACCACGATGGAACCCCTAACAACATTGCTGTACATGTGTGAGTTGATGTTACCCCTGCTGCCCTACCCCAACCCTCCCTCTGGTCTTATCTGATGCTCTAATTTTTCATCTTTTCCCTTGAACTTCATTGTAAGCATAAGAAGGGCTTTACTCCCTCATTAGCAGTATAGAGAAAGGCATTTAATTGACTAAGAGTTGGTTCTTCAGTGGGTCGCCATCCTAGCAGTTGTCTGGAATCATTGCTAACTTGGAGGCTTGCTGTCAAGAGTACATCTCACACAGTGAGTGCACAGAATACCTGCATTAATCTTGATCTTCCCTAGAGAGACATAACTCCTACTGACCTTGATAGTTAATTGTGCCAGGTTTCCTCAAGACTCTGTACCTTTGGTTTTCTGTCATGTACTACATTTTTGCTGAGCTTTCAGTAATTCAGTTTATAAATACGTATTTGAGTCCTGTGTTCTGAGTCCTTGATGGAAACTGCTATTGACAAATGCTCCTCTGTGAGATTAATTTCTCTTCACAGCAGTCTGGTCTAGTAGACACATTACAAAGATTTATTTTGTTTCCTGTTCCTGTGCTTCAGTTCCTTGATCTCTAAGTAAACCATCTTATCGGTTGGGAAAATATAATTGACATTCAAATTCATATCTTCAGTCCCTGTATTTCTGGTTTGTTCATCAGTCAGATTGCTGTCTATACTAGGTCCCTTGACACAATACTCTCAGTGCCCATAGGGAACTATGTTGGTCGAGGGGAGTGGCTATTAGCAGCAGCTCAGGCTTTCAGTACTTGACTCCCAGACCTGGGGCAATTTATCTTCTCTGTGCCTCAGTCTTCTAATCTACAATATTAAGAACATGGACTCTGGAGCCTGGCTATGTGGGTTCAGATTCTGGCTGTGCCCCTTACTAGTTGTGAGATCTTAAGCAAATTTTCTAACCTATGAGCCTAAGTTTCCTTATTCATAATAGCAACTATCTCATCTAGGACTGTTGTATGTTAATACAAATAGAGCACCTGGAACATTGTCTGGCGAGCGAGAAGTACTCAAGAAAGCTTAGTTACTTATTTTATTTCATGGAGTTAGTATTAATGCATTTAATACTAACAATTTTCACAAGAGTGCATGGTATACTATATTCAACTAGCCATGTTTTTGTTGTATTCTGAAATACTTAGAGTGACAGCCCTGGCCGGTGTGACTCAGTTGGTTGGAGTGTTGTTCTGTAAACCAAAAGACTGCAGTTTCAATTCCCAGGTTTAGTCTCTGGTCAGGGCATACACAAGAGGCAACTAATCGATGTTTCTTACATTGATGTTTCTCTTTCTTTTTCTTGCTCCTTTCTTCTCTCTCTGGAATAAAAAAATGCTTAGAGTGACAGCACTTAAGTTGTATTAAAAAGCAAACAATGAAAGAGGTTCTTGGATCATCTAATTTGGGAAGATGAACATGATTTTTAAGAGAATTCTTTCTTGGACTTCTGGCCAAGATGGAGGCATAGATAGGTACACTGTGCCTCCTCTCACAACCAAAAGAAGGACAACAACAATTTAAAAACAAAAAACAACCAGAACTGACAGAAAATAGAACTGGATGAAAATCCAACAACCAAGGAGTTAAAGTAGACACATTCATCCAGACAAGTAGGAGGGGCGGAGTCGGGCAGCCAGGGAAGAGAGGACTCACAGCAAGGTGGTGGCTGGCGAACCCAGCGAGGTGGCAGATCGTGGAATGGGGTGCGCAAGGCTGTAGCTGGCTGGCAAGGCTCTGGATGGCAGACCAGGTGGTCCCACATTCAAGCACAGTTAAACCAGGTAAAACAAAGGGGGAGCGGGATGGACCACACAACCCAGGGCCCCAGAGCAGGGGAATAAAGCCTCAAACCACTGATTGAAAAATACCTGTGGGGGTTGTGGTGGAAGCTGGAGAAATTCTTAGCCTCACGGGAAAGTTTGTTGGAGAGACCCACAGGGTCCTAGAATGTACACAAACCCACCATCCTGGGAATAAGCACCAGAAGGGCCCAATTTGCTTGTGGGAAATGGGGGAAGTTGCTGAAATCCAGCAGAAAGTAGAGCAAGCACCATTGTTCCCTCTCAGGCCCTTTCCCCACATACAGTGTTACAACCCAGTTACTGGGTTGCTCTGCCCTGGGGAACACCTAAGGCTCTGCCTCTCACTACAAAACAGACATGCCAAGACAAATAAAAATGGCCCAAATGAAAGAACAGATCAAAGCTCTAGCAAAAATACAACTAAGTGATGAGATAGCCAGCCTATCAGATGCACAGTTTAAACCACTGGTGATCAGGATGCTCACAGAATTGGTTGAATTTGATGAAAAAATTAGAAAAATTTTTTACAAGTTAGATGAAAAAATGAAGGCTATGTGAAATAAAGGAAAATCTACAGGGAATCAATAATGATGGGAAGGAAACTGGGACTTAAATCAATAGTGTGGAGCAGAAAAAAGAAAGAAACAACTAAACAGAAAATAATGAAGAAACAAGAATTCAAAACATTGAGGAGAGGCCTAGGAAAACCTAGGACATCTTTAAACGTTTCAACATCCGAATTATAGGGGTACCAGGAGGAGAAGAGGAAGATTAACAAGTGGAAAAGTTATTTGAACAAATAATAAAGGAAAACTTTCCCAATCTGGCAAAGGACTGCCCATCCTTTGGCAATAGACTTTCCCAATCTGGCCATAGACTTCCCTTTCTGGCAAGTCTATTGACTTCCAGGAAGTCCAGGAGCTCAGAGAGTCCCAAAGAAGTTGGACTCAAGGAGGAACACACCAAGGCACACCATAATTAACTCAGCCAAAATTAAAGATAAGGAGAGAATCTTAAAAGCAGTGAGACAAAAGGGGACAGTCACCTACAAAGGAGTTCCCATCAGACTGTCAGCTGATTTCTCAAAAGAGACCTTACAGGCAAGAAGGGGCTGGAAAGAAGTATTCCAAGTCATGAAATGCAAGGACCTACATCCAAGATTGCTCTATCCAGCAAAGCTATCATTTAGAATGGAAGGGCAGATAAAGTGCTTCTCAGATAAGGTCAAGTTCAAGGAGTTCATCATCACCAAGCCCTTATTATATGAAATGTTAAAGGGACTTATCTAAGAAAAAGAAGATAAAAGACATGTACAGTAAAATGACAACAAACTCACAATTATTTACAACCACACCTAAAACAAAAACAAAAACTCAGTAAGCAAACAACTAGAACAGGAACAGAATCACAGAAATAGAGATCACTTGTAGGATTAGCAACAGGGAATGGGAGGAGGAGAAAGGGGGAAAGGTACAGAGAATAAGTAGCATAAATGGTAGGTAGAAAAGAGACAGGGGGAGGGCAAGAATAGTATGGGAAAAGTGGAAGCTAAAGAACTTATATATATGACACATGGACATGAACTAAAGGGAGGAGTGTGGGTGGGAGGTGATGTACAGAGTGGAGGGGAGTGAAGGAGGGAAAATGGAACAAATGTAATAGCATAACCAATAAAATGTATTTTTTAAAAAAATATTTTTTCTTATGTGCTGTATCTCTCTTGACTCTATCTGTTCCATTAAATATTTTTTAGCATTTTAAGGCAACATAGCAACCAGGAAGATATGGAAAAAATCATAAAATCTAAAATTTGTAGCACCTGCTATAATTCAATGAACTACAAAGTGAGGGTTGGTAAATTCTGAGTGATTGTCTTCAATTAAGAAAGTAAAACACATATAGATAACTTGGAAAATGCAAAAGTAAATAAACATAAATAACCCTTATCCTTCTAATTATTATAAATAATATTTTAATATTATAAAATATTATAATAATATTTTTCTCTACTTCTTTTAGTCTTCTGTAAACAATATCATACTAAATAACTTGATATTCTGCTTTGCAATTAAATCATGTTTTCTAATGTTTTTAATGACTGTTATGAGTCTATTAAGATTATACCAGAGACAATGCTTAAACATTTCACTTATCTATTCTTTTACTGAAAATGATAAGGCTGCAAAAGAACTCCTTACAAAAATTGTTATTCAGTATTCAAGCTATTACTTTAAAGTTTCTAGCTAGTAAATTATTAGATAATGGTATAAGCTTAAAGGTCCAAGAGATCAAATTCCATTCACCCATCAAGACTGCATGTCTGTGCATTTTCCTCTCATATAGATTGTGTCCCTTTTCTGTGTTTACTGCTGAACCTGGTCCTCAGAGGGAAATTAGGAAACAAGAGACTCCTGCTTATAAGGATCTTACATTTCAGCAATAACTCCCACCCTGTTCTTTCTCTAGGGCATTGTCCATGACTGGCCTGGCACTGATAGCTCTTGGTACTGGAGGAATCAAGCCCTGTGTGTCTGCATTTGGTGGAGATCAGTTTGAAGAGGGCCAGGTAAGAGCATGTGCATTCACAGAAACTACATAAATGAATTATAAACCTCCAGGAATCAAATTCTACTGACATAAAGTCTGTTCTCCACTGGATTCTTTTTTCTTTTTAAAAATTATTTTATTGTTGTTCAAGTGCAGTTGTCTGCATTTACCCCCCACCACACACCCCCACCCCAGCCATCCTGTTTCCAACCCCCCTTGGTTTTGTCCATGTGTCCTCTATAGTTGTTCCCGAAAACCCTCTCCCCTCCCTGCTTCTCCCCTTCCCTCCATTATCCCTTCCCACCTACCCTCTGGTTACTGTCAGATTATTCTTAATTTCATTGTCTCTGGTTAAATTTTGCTTACTTGTTTGTTTTGTTGATTAGATTCCACTTAAATGTGAGATCATATGGTATTTGCCCCTCAACACCTGGCTTATTTCACTTACCATAATGCTCTCCAGTTCCAATTCTTTTCAAGTAGACTTGAAGTGAGATACTGACCAAATCTGAGAAGTAAAGTCAGGTCATCAGCCACATTTGATCAGTCGATATATAGCCAAAGCTATTATACTTTAACTTTATCCTTTTTATTATAGGAAAAACAAAGAAACCGATTTTTTTCCATATTTTATTTGGCCATTAATGCTGGAAGTTTGCTTTCTACTATCATCACTCCCATTCTCAGAGGTAAAAATATCAGAAGGGGACTACTGTTTTTCTTTTTTTAATTGTGGGGAGAAAGTCAGATTAAAAGTTTAAGTCCTTGCTTTGTCTGTTTTGTATCTTTAGTCTCCAATTATACTTCAGCTACCAGACACACTGGAGTACACACTGAAATCCAGAATATGTGCTTCTTTTCTTTTGCGTTTTATCTCCTTTTCAATCTTATTTGAATCCCTTATCCTAGTGACTACTGAAGAATCTATGGCATCCTTAGCATAGCAGTCAATTTTTCTAAATTATTACTAACAGAAAGTCCTTACTTACGGTAAAAGATAAGACAGGAGAGACTGTGGAAACCACACATTTTGCCTTCAGATTTTGCTCCCCAGTGATGTTCTGTGAGTTAGGAAGAATTTTGTGGGCAAGGTCTTATTCTTTGCTTTTCTATAATCTCACATATTTCAAAAAGAACTGCCCAGGAAAGAGGATGAGGCAGCAACTAGCAACATTATTCAGATTTTGATGCTTACTAATGATCCATTGAGAGTTTGTGAATTTTTGACATGGGAGGGGATATTTGGGGGCAAATTAGACCAAAACAAGATTATGATGTGCACACTGAATCATTTTAAATTATGAAATAAAATATTTTGTAAGGATTTCTGGATATCTGCATAGACTAGTAGTCTGGACATCTCCAGATGTACTTAAACCACATTTCAACTTGTATTATAAAAATTTAGTAGTTTTTATTCTTATGTTCCCTCACCTCCCCCACCTCTCCCACCTCCCCACCTACTAGAATATCTACTATGCATGTTTGAATTAGAGAATGTCTTAAAGGATAACTTTTTTAAAGGTAAAATCATGACTCTCACACAAATATGAAATAAGCATGTGACAAATATTTTATATAACTTATTAATTAATGAGGGAACTGAGTAATAGTTGAAATAGGAATTTGACTAACAAGGATTTATTTATATTCTTTATAGAGGGGAAATTTATTTGTATTGCCATGAATATGAAACATTATGTGACTATTAGTTTTCTACTAGTTAACTTCTTGCTCTAGAGAATTATGAAATAGCTAGTCAAAGACAAAGTTAAAACCCCTTTAAGATAAGATTCATGGAGGTTCCAACATTCCATTAAAAGGATTTCCAGAATTCTCTGTTGCCCCTTCCAAAATCTTAATTATTTTCACACCAATCCTAGGATTTCAGAGTTAAAGTTGTCCCTCAGTCAGGGGTTAGCAAAACTATGGCTCATGGGCCAAATCCAGAAATGTAGAAAAGACTATCCATTTGTGTATTGTCTGTTGTTCCTTTCACCCTACAAAAGCAGGATTGAGTGGTTGGGACAAGGACTAAATGGCCCATATTTTTACTAAAACATTCACTCCCTTGTTCTTCATGGAAAAGTTTGTTGACCTCTGCCCTGGATCATCTAATTGTTTTCAAATTGGTGTGAATTCAGGAACATGCAACCATGATTTTCCAAGCCACTTTTGATTTTATTTACTGAGTATTCTGGTTATTTTTTAACTCCCCCACTAAGAAAACCCACTGGACATAAGAACTGATTTGGGCTTAGCTAGTATCAGATAGCTACTTAAGGGCTGAGATTAGACCAGTCTCTACCTCCTGTTCTTTTTACTACAAAACTCCTTTGCTCATTTGCCAAATTGTTGCAGATGGATATGGGGTCCAGGCTCTTGGTGGTCATGAACAAGGAATTGAATGGACCACACAAATAAAGATAAGCAAAACAAGCGAGAGAAAGTTTCTGGCATCATAACTGTCATACCCTCTAAGAAATAGGAGAAAGCGTAAAACTAGCAACAGCCACTAGACCCAATACTGACCATCAAAATATCCAGGGAAACAGGGGAAAACCTGACAATGAGGATCCACTTAATTACAGAGAGCCCAAATCCTGAAATGGCCCCATACTTCCTGCAGTTGAAGTAGTTAGGCAAAAAGAGAAAAAAAACAATATTGTTACAGAGGAGGAAGCACATCATTACAGTATGTTAGGGATCATCTCAAAAGTTCCAAGTCAATTCTTTCTTTGCTCCTAGCAGTTAATACCTTCCCAGGCTTGGCCACCTCTGACCTGGGGTGCCAGCATTTCTATGTCTTTGGCCTGCTGCATGTGAGCCAATCTAATGAAGCTACTCAACAACTTCTCTGCTGTGTTAGTAAGGCAAATAGATAAGTCTAAAAGATTAAGTGAAAACAAATATGTAATAACCAGCTAGGGATTTTTTAAATGGGAAGTAGATAAACATTATCAATGCCATAATAAGCTTTAATCTTGTAATTTCTCCCCAGTTCAAGAATGTGGAATTCACAGTAAGCAAGCTTGTTACCCATTGGCATTTGGGGTTCCTGCTGCTCTCATGGCTGTTGCTCTGAGTAAGTAGAAATGAGTTGAATTAATATAATCCTATGATCAGATCAGGCCTTCACATTAATTATTATAACTGATTTTTAAAGTTCACATAACAAATGATAATAAGAAGTAGTATGAAGAATTGCCATCCTATGTTAAACATGCTCTGGGAATTTAAAGAAAGTAACCTTGGCATTTTACAGAGGAAATAAGGTCAAAGAAGTTTTACAGGAAAAGGGATCAACTGAGTTGAACATCTAAAGGTGTGATACTATTTAGGCTAGTGATACTTTAGGCTTGATACTATAAGGTGAAGATGATAGAATAGGCTAGACTGGTTGAACCCATATCTGAAAGCCTTTCTTCCTGTCAACATGTAACCATCTACAACTTGAAGACATGGTAACCTAGTCCAGTTGTTTAAATACCTCCAGTACTATCTAGATTTCTATAAGGTATCATCTCAAAATATTTCTATCATAATGTATATGTTTGTTTTAGATGCATTCATTTGCATGTGAGTTCTGGCACTCACTTTTTAAGAAGCATGAAGAGATTTCTACATGGGACAGTATAGTGTGAGAGATGGTAGGGGTCTTCATTTCCTAGGACTATCATAACAAAATACCACAGACTGAGTGGCTTAACCAACCAGAAATTTATTTATTATCTCACAGTTCTGGAGGCTGGAAGTCCAAGATCAATGTGTTAGAAGGGTTGTGCTCCTATTTAAGACCCTGGGAAGAATCTCTTCCAGGCCTCTCTCCCTCTTGAAGAACCCTGGCATGTGACAGCATAATGTCAGTCTACCCATGCCCTTCCCTCTGTGTGTCCAAATGTCCCCTTTTAAAGGGCTACCAGTCATATGATAGAGTAGGGCCACCATAATGACTCATCTTACCTTGTCACATTCTGAGGTCCTGGGGATAAGGACTTCAACATATCTGGGGCAGGGCATGGAGCATAATTCAACCTGTGACAGTAGTACAAGAAGGAAACAGCCCAGTTTGCTGTCTCAAACCTTCCTAGCTGCTATTCCCACTCAATGAGGTAGGAGTCAGCACTATTACTTTCTCTGCTGATTTTTTCAATTCTTAATAGTATAAAGTATGCACCTTTTTAACATCTTTTGCTCATGTAGAAATTTAGCTTTTTCCATACGCTTATGCAAGAGTTCAGCATTCTCCTTTTTATATATGTCCAATTTCTTCCCTAATTGTTTAACTACTTCCCTACTCCCTAAAAGGCTCATATGTGCCTTCTCTTCTCTAATTCTAAGTAAGGAAGTGGAGATAAAGAGGATTTAAAAAAATGTTTTAGGCTGGACACTGTATTAAGTTGGTATTAGGTAAGTAGTCATTTAGTATGAGTCCTTCTTACATCAAAGATTATGCTTCTTTTTATGGAAGAATTGAGAACAGGCCAAATCCTATGTATCAACACCAACTCTAGAAGTTTCTATCTGCAGCAATCTTATGCTTGAATTAGTTAATCAGAAGCTTAAAGATTAAAATATTAGTTAGCAAAAATGTACACTCAACCTCTACCATCCATGTCAGTTGAAGAAGCAATTGGCATTGGGTTAGAATATGAGCAAGCTCCCCTTTCTTCAATTTGGAGATATGCTTGAGAATTAGCACCTTTCAAAATCTCAAGCCCTTTCTTAACTGAGGGGAAAAAGTCTAATTCAGACAATTCACTGATGATTTAAAAATTTTGAACTCCAGTACTGGATAATCAGAAATTCTGGTAACAGGGATTGTGTTTTCAGAGTTTCTTCCAGAAATATTTTTCCTAAGTTTGTTGTTTTTTGCTTTTTGTTTTTTATAATATGTCTTTTCTAAGAGGGTTTATGGAAGAATTGGCTACTTGTGTAAGTGCTTTTTCTTGTGTAAAACTGTAACTGTGTTACTGGACCATGAGCATGGAATAAATTTTGTCACATTTGATTAAGTAAAAGTTTCAAGAGATTAGTTCCTATTTTTTCTGAAGATTATAAAAAGAAACTTTATCCTGTCATTGCAACTGAAAAAATAAAGCTGGTTTTAGTCTGTATAGAGTTATACATTAATCTGTTATGTGAAAGCACTTATTCCTTTTTTCTCCCTTTACACAGTGACAGAATTTGTGCCTAAATAGTTATAGTTTCTTTTTTAAATACATTTTATTGGTTATGCCATTACAGTTCTATTCCCCCATTCATTCCCCTCCACCCTGCACACCCCTCCCCCACCATTCCCCCCCTTTAGTTTATGACCACGTGTCTCAAGTTCTTTATTTATTTATTTTTTAAAATTTTTATTGATTATGCTGTTACAGTTGTTCTATTCCCCCTTTATTCTCCTCCACCCTACCCCTCATCCCCACCATTACCCCCCCTTTAGTTTATGACCATGTGTCTCAAGTCCTTTAGATTCTATATTTCCCATGTTATTCTTGCCCCCCCCATCTATTTTCTATCTAGTCTATGCTACTTATTTTCTGTACCTTCTCCCCCCATCTTCTCCTCCCACTCCCCTGTTGCTAACCCTCCTTGAGATCTTCATTTCTTTGTTTCCACTCCTGATCTAGCTGTCCTTTTAGTTTGCTTTCGTTTTAGGTGTGGTTGTTAATAACTGTGAGTTTGTTGTCCTTTCACTGTTCATGTTTCTTTAACTTCTTTTTCTTAGATAAGTCCCTTTAACATTTCATATAATAAGGGCTTGGTGATGATGAACTCCTTGAATTTGATCTTATCTGAGAAGCACTTTATCTGTCCTTCCATTCTAAATGCAGGCTTTGCTGGATAGAGCAATCTTGGTTGTAGGTCTTTAGATTTCATGACTTGGAATACCTCTTTCCAGCCCCTTCTTGCCTGTAAGGTCTCTTTTGAGAAATCTGCTGACAGTCTGATGGGAAGTCCTTTGTAGGTGACTGTCCCCTTAGCTCTTGCTGCTTCTAGGATTCTCTCCTTCATTTTAATCTTGGCTAATATAATTATGATGTGCCTTGGTGTGTTCCTTCTTGGGTCCAACTTCTTTGGGACTCTCTGAGCTTCCTGGATTTCCTGGAAGTCTATTTCCTTTGCCAGATTGGGGAAATTCTCCTTTATTATTTGTTCAAATAAGTTTTCCACTGGTGGCTGTGCCTTTCCCCCTTCTGGTACCCCTATAATTCGGATGTTGGAGCATTTAAAGATGTCCTGGAGGTTCCTAAGACTCTCCTCATTTCTTTGAATTCTTGCTTCTTGACTCTTTTCTGTTTGGCCATTATTTGCTTTCTTCTGGTCCACTCCATTGATTTGAGTCCCAGTTTCCTTTTCATTGCTATTGGTGTCCTGTGCAATTCCATTCATTTCAATTAGTTTCCCCTTCATATATTTGTCTCATTTGTGGCTATAATCAACCAGTTCTGTGAGGATCCTAATCACCAATGTTTTAAACTGTGCGTCTGTGAGTTTTGCTATTTCTTCATCGCTTAGATCTATTGGCTCTGGGGCTCTGAGATCCTCCTGCGCCATTCTTGGTCTGTTCGGGCCCTTTAAGTGTGAGAAGCGGCGCCTTGGATTCCCAGGTCGCTGGGTTGTGACGCTGTATGTGGGGGCGTGGCCAGAGCGGGGAAATGGCGAACCCCTCTGCTGCTTCTCACAGCTGGGTGCGGAGGAGCAGTGCCTTAGGTGGTTCACCTGGGCTGGGCCACTCAGAGTCACTGGGTTATGACGCTGTATGTGGAGGTGGGGTCAGAGCAGGGAAATGGCAGTGCCCTCCACTGCCGCTTGCCGTGGGGACCTGCCGGCCCGGTCCAACTGCCCACTCCCTTGCCTGTCCACCCGCGCACAAATGCGCGACCTCAGTCAACTCGCAGCCCCGCTGCCCTGCTGTCTCCCCCACGGTTGCTTGCCTGGTTGCTCGCTGGGTCGCTCACTAGGTCCGACCCTGTGCCTGGATTCCGCGGGCCTGAGTGTGTCTGGCCGAGTCCTCCTGTGCAACCCTGCTCCGCCAGCTGCTGGTTTCGCCCCTTACCGGTCAGGCTGAAGAATTTGTTAACGGACTTCCGAAAAGTTCAATTTTCTGTGTTCTGGCTGTGTTTTCTGTTGCTAATATTTAATTTTCTCTAATCTTGGTTGTGTGAGAAGGCACGGCACATCCACCTATTCCTCCATCTTGGTGGAAGTCCTCAAGTTCTTTAGATTGGTAGATATTTAGTTTCTTTGAGCTGCCCCAGGTTTGGGAAGTAAATAGTAGTAGACCGCATTGTTTATATGTGAGAACCCAAATATAACATTATTCAGAAGCTCCTGTGATTATTAGAATCAAAAGCATTTTCTAAACTGGGAGGTAGGTAGGTAAACCCATTTTATGAGTAATCCTAGTATATCCGAAACAAGGTTATAACTGAAATAAAAGCACATATTCTAGGTCTGAAGTAGTTCTGACAATACCCTCTTAACACATATTCTTTTGTTCTGTCCAGTTGTATTTGTCCTTGGCAGTAGAATGTACAAGAAGTTCCAGCCCCAGGGTAACATCATGGGGAAAGTAGTCAAATGCATTGGTGTAAGTATCTCAGTAGCTCTCTCTCAATGAAATTTTCAGTCAACCTAGAACCTTCCAAACCTTCCACCTTCTTCAAATTAAAATTCAGTGAAGTGTTAACTTTCCTTTAAGCATTTTATTAGTGTTCTTTTCTATGGGTATAAGGAAAAGTAAGTTAAATTACCTGCCATCATTGCTTAAAAGATAAATCGAAAGTAAGGATATTAATCAGTAAGTAATAAAACAAGAATAAACTGTATTTTGCATACTCACAATTGTAAACCTACTTTTGCCCACCCCTGTATTTTGATAAACTGATGCTTCTTATAAAACTTACCACATAGAAAAGGACACAACAGAATTCAAAAAGGGAAGGACAGTAATGACTCTGGAACTTATAAGATCAGTGGTCAAAGAAAATAGAATCAGTGACTCTTCACCTATAAAAATGGTAAATAAAGTTTGTCCTTTGTCAGAGAGCAGAGAAACAAAAAAGGAGGAGGCATGGTTTGGCACTGCTGTGCATTGGGAGTCTGAGGAACTGAAAGTGTCAGTTAATACTACTTTCAGGAATCAGGCTAAAAAGTTACTTTTATAAATGAACACAAATGCACACTCTAAGATTATTAATGTAATATTTAAAATACCAAAACAACAACACAAAACAAAATATTTACAGTAGCAAAAATTTAAGTCCTTCAAGTTGCCAATAATGGGAGAATAATGCCTAACTTACAGCACATCTGTGCCATATTATGCAGTCATCAGAAGTCTTGTCTTCAATGACTATCTAGTGACAGGAACATGCAGAATATGAATTCCTCCATATATATCCACATGGTGTATGTACATACAGGCACATTTAAAGTCAAGAAATAAATGTTGAGTGTAGGAATCTTTAAATAATGAAATCAAATAACCCCTATTTTTCTCTCATGTTTTTTAGTGAATATGTATATATCATATAATCAGAGGAAAATGTGTCACTTACTTGTAAAAAAATATGTATGGATAACTTTGGGGATGTGAAGGCAGCCTGAAGGCAATGTTAGGACACTTACTTTCCCTTTGCCTGGCTTTATTGCATTAAATTATACATGTGTACTTTACTTCATGAAATAAACATGTCCTCTCACAATTAAAAAAACATTATATTTCCTTTCAGCCATTTTTTTTCCTTTTGTACTTTCCTCTAACAGCAATTAGATTGATTCCCTTCGCAGACTGTTTTCCAAGTTAGGAAGGTATCTTACTGATGGTCTCTTCAAGTTCTTACTTCCCTAGTAATTGACAACTTAGTTCAAAATCCAAAAGAAGAACTTCAAGCCCTTCAGAGTCATGAGAACTGTACTGCCCAGCATCCAAAATCAGCCCACAGCTTTGGGTTATTTACTACCATTTAGTCACATTCATGTATGTTCCCAACCAATCTCACCATCTTTTTCTAATCAGTGTTACCATATTTTAAAACATGTTCAGCTATAACCCTTATTTTTTATAAATCCATTTCTGTGTAGTGGGTTCTCACTGTCCTTTATGTAGCTATGATCCATTTATTATAGACCTCTACTATCTAATATAGTAAATATTAGACACATGTAGCTATTAAACATTTGAATGCAAAAAGTTCAACAAAGGAACATAGTTTTTAATTGGATTTCACTTCAATTAATTTAAATTATATAATTTCATATACATGTATTTCTATATAATGTGTTCTTTTAGATTTTAAAAACCAATACTAAAGCCCTGGCTGGTGTAGCTCAGTGGATTGAGCACGGGCCTGTGAACCAGAAGGTCGCGGTTTGATTCCCAGTCAGGGCACATACCGGGGTTGCAGGCTGGTTCCCTGCAGGCCAGTTCCCAGCAGGGGACGCACGAAAGGCAACCCAACCGTACATTGATGTTTCTCTCCTCTCTCCTTTCCTTCCCCTCAAAGATAAATAAATAAAATCTTTAAAAAAAACAACAACAATACTTAGTTCAGTTATTGGAAAACTTTAAAGTATATTTGGAACTTCATAGGTATATAAATCTAGTTTTTTTACACAAATTTTATGAAATGTAAATACAGATCAAATATTTCTAATAAAAATTTAGCATTCAAATTAAAATGTGCTGTGAGGGTAAAGTATACCCTGCATTTCAAAGGCTTGGTTTAAAAAAGAATGTAAAACTTCTTATGAATTTTAAAAATATCAATTACATATTAAGATCATGTTTTGTGTTTCTTGGGTTAAAGAAAATGTATTTAAAATTAATTTTACCTGTTTCCTTTTTGCTTTTTAATATGGCTGCCGGAAAACATAAATGTCACCTTTTATTTCTATTCAATGTTCCTCTCTAGAGCATAGAGTAGTAACAGAATGACTTTGTTTACCTTAAACTCACACACTCGTAGTTAGTAAAAGATTAGATAAACGCATGTCATGCCTTTTAGCATTTTCATATATATATTAGTGTATACAATTTTCTATTTTGCTTCTCTCACAAGTTTTTCATTAAAAGGAGTTTAATTGAAATTTGTTTTCCTGGTAAAGTAATTAGTCATGTTTTGAAATTCCCTTTTTCTTCCTTCTTTCAGTTTGCCATCAAAAATAAGTTTAGGCACCGGAGTAAGGAATTTCCCAAAAGGGAGCACTGGCTAGACTGGGCCAAAGAGAAGTATGATGTAAGTGATCATTATTGCCACAGTGGTCCCAGTGACCTTCCTCTAGAAAGTAAACTCCATAATTACAATTCATATTGTTAAGGCTCCATGGACAAGATTATCAGCTGTATCTTCAGAACCTTTATATCACATTAAGAAAGATTCTGGGAGTGTGATTTTTTATATTGAAAAGAACTTGATGGGGAATAGATATAATTTATCTAGAAACAATATTATCTTTTCTAAGTATATTTTATTGACTATGTTGTTATAGTTTTCCCAATTTTTCCCCTTTTATCCCCCTGAACCCCCAACCCTCCAGCATACCCTCCTTAGTTCATGTCCATGGGTTGTACAGGTAAGTTCTTTGAGTTCTCTGCTTCCTACACCATTTTTGACCTCTCCTCATCCATTTAATGCTTACTAATTATGCTTCTTCCTCCCTGTATTCCCCCCATTCCTCCCCTCCCCCTCCTCACTGAGAACCCTCCATGTGATGTCCATTTCTCTGATTCTGTTCCTGTTCTAGTTGTTTTCTTAGTTTTTGGTTTCGTTCTTCTTTTATTTTTTTAGGTTCATTTGTTGATAGTTGTGAGTTTGTTGTCATTTTACTGTTCATATTTTTTATCTTCCTTTCCTTAGATAAGTCCCTTTAACAGTTCATATAATAATGGCTTGGTGATGATGAACTCCTTTAAGTTGACCTTATATGGAAAGTACTTTATCTGCCCTTCCATTCTAAATGATAGTTTTGCTGGATAGAGTATTCTCAGATGTAAGTTCTTGCCTTTCAAGACTTTGAATACTTCTTTCCAGTCCCTTCTTGCCTGTAAGGTTTCTTTTTTTTTGTGTGTGTGTGTACACATTCTCTGCTTTTATTTAGGGAACTTGAATACAAAATTGATAACTAACAAAAGCTGAAACAAATCCTTATGATAGCCTCTAAATTGCTTGTCTTGGGGGAAACTTATTTTTTTCTTTTCTAAAAATATTTTATTGATTATGCCATTACAGTTGTTCTATTTCTCCCTCTTCATTCCCCTCCACCCTGCACACCCCTCCCCCGCCATTCCCCCCCTTTAGTTTATGATCACATGTCTCAAGTTCTTTAGATTCTATATTTCCCCTACTATTCTTGCCCTCCCCCTATCTATTTTCTACCTACCATCTATGCTACTTATTTTCTGTACCTTCTCCCCCCTTCTCCTTCTCTCACTCCCCTGTTGCTAACCCACCATGTGATCTTCATTTCTGTAGTTCACTCCTGATCTAGCTGTCCTCTTAGTTTGCTTTTGTTTAGGTGTCGTTGTTGATAATTGTGAGTTTGCTGTCCTTTCACTGTTCATCTTTTTTCTCTTCTTTTTCTTAGGTAAGTCCCTTTAACATTTCATATAATAAGGACTTGGTGATGATGAACTCCTTGAATTTGATCTTATCTGAGAAGCACTTTATCTGTCCTTCCATTCTAAACTTAAGCTTTGCTGGATAGAGCAATCTTGGATGTAGGGCTTTGGATTTCATGACTTGGAATACCTCTTTCCAGCCCCTTCTTGCCTGTAAGGTCCATCTTGGTGGAAGTCTCCCTATAAGGTTTCTTTTGAGAAATCGGCTGATAGCCTTACGGGAACTCCTTTGTAGGTAACTGTCTCCTTTTCTCTTCCTGCTGTTAAGATTCTCTCTTTGTCTTTAATCTTGGGTAACTTAATGATGATGTGCCTTGGTGTGTTTCCCTTTGGGTCCAACTTCTTTGGGACTCTCTGGGCTTCCTGGATTTCCTGGAAGTCTATTTCCTTTGCCAGATTGGGGAAGTTTTCCTTCATTATTTGTTCAAATAAGTTTTCAATTTCTTGCCACTGTTCTTCTCTTTCTGGCAGCCCTATAATTTGGATATTGGAATGTTTCAGGTTGTCCCAGGTGTTTGTAAGACTCTCTTCACTTTTCTGAATTCTTGTTTCTTCATTCTGTTCTGGTTGAATGTTTATTTCTTTCTTTTCTTCCAAATCATTGGTTTGAGTCCTGGTTTCCTTCCCTTCACTGTTGGTTCACTGAATGTTTTTCTTTATTTCATTTTGGGTATCTTTCATTTGCTTTTTCATTTTTCGACCAAGCTCAATCAGTTCTGTGAGAATTTTGATTACCATGGCTTTAAATTCTCCATCAGATCAGTTGGCTATCTCCTCATCACTTAGCTCTCTTTCTGGGATTTTGCTTTGTTCTTTCATTTTAGCCCTATTTCTGTGTTCAGGGCCCCTGTTAAGTTATAAGGGGGGCAGAGCCTTAGGTATTTTTTTCTTTTTTTTTTAATTTTTATTGATTATGCTGTTACAGTTGTTCTATTCCCCCCTTCATTCCCCTCCACCCTACCCCCCCTCCCCACCATTACCCCCCCTTTAGTTTATGACCATGTGTCTCAAGTCCTTTAGATTCTATATTTCCCATGCTATTCTTGCCCCCCCATCTATTTTCTATCTACTGTCTATGCTACTTATTTTCTGTACCTTCTCCCCCCATCTCCTCCTCCCACTCCCCTGTTGCTAACCCTCCTTGAGATCTTCATTTCTATGTTTCCACTCCTGATCTAGCTGTCCTTTTAGTTTGCTTTCGTTTTAGGTGTGGTTGTTAATAACTGTGAGTTTGTTGTCCTTTCACTGTTCATGTTTCTTTAACTTGTTTTTCTTAGATAAGTCCCTTTAACATTTCATATAATAAGGGCTTGGTGATGATGAACTCCTTGAATTTGATCTTATCTGAGAAGCACCTTATCTGTCCTTCCATTCTAAATGAAAGTTTTGCTGGATAGAGAAATCTTGGTTGTAGGTCTTCGGATTTCATGACTTGGAATACCTCTTTCCAGCCCCTTCTTGCCTGTAAGGTCTCTTTTGAGAAATCAGCTGACAGTCTGATGGGGACTCCTTTGTAGGTGACTGTCCCCTTAGCTCTTGCTGCTTCTAGGATTCTCTCCTTCATTTTAATTTTGGCTAATGTAATTATGATGTGCCTTGGTGTGTTCCTTCTTGGGTCCAACTTCTTTGGGACTCTCTGAGCTTCCTGGATTTCCTGGAAGTCTATTTTCTTTGCCAGATTGGGGAAATTCTCCTTTATTATTTGTTCAAATAAGTTTTCCACTGGTGGCTGTGCCTTTCCCCCTTCTGGTACCCCTATAATTCGGATGTTGGAGCGTTTAAAGATGTCCTGGAGGTTCCTAAGACTCTCCTCATTTCTTTGAATTCTTGCTTCTTGACTCTTTTCTGTTTGGCCATTATTTGCTTTCTTCTGGTCCACTCCATTGATTTGAGTCCCAGTTTCCTTTTCATTGCTATTGGTGTCCTGTGCAATTCCATTCATTTCAATTAGTTTCGACTTCATATATTTGTCTAATTTGTCGGTATAATCAACCAGTTCTGTGAGGATCCTGATGACCAGTGTTCTAAACTGTGCGTCTGAGAGTTTTGCTATTTCTTCATCGCTTAGATCTATGGGCTCTAGGGCTTTAAGAACTTGAGACATTTTTGGTCTGTTCGGGCCCTTTAAGTGTGAGAAGCGGTGCCTTGGACTCCCAGGTCGCTGGGTTGTGACGCTGTATGTGGGGGCGTGGTCAGAGCAGGGAAAAGGCGGGGCCTTCCACTGCCACTTGCCACGGGGACCACTGGCCTCGGTCCAACTGCCCACTCCCTCGCCTGTCTGCTCGCGCACAAATGGGTGACCACAGTCAACACGCAGCACCGCTTCCCCGCTGTCTCCTTCGAGGTCGCTCACCTGGTGGCTCGCTCAGTCGCTCACTAGGTCCAACCCTGCGCCTGGATTCCGCGTGTATGGATTCCGCGCCTGAGTCTGTCTGACCGAGTCCTCCTGTACAACCCCTCACCAGCTGCTGGTTTCACCCCTTACCGGTCAGGCTGAAGAATTTGTTGTTAACGGACTTCCGAAAACTTCAATTTTCCGTTTTCTGATTGTGTTTTCTGTTGCTAATATTTAGTTGTCTCTAAACTTGGTTGTGTGAGAAGGCACCGCACATCCACCTATGCCTCCATCTTGGCAGAAGTCCGAGCCTTAGGTATTTACCCAGGCAGGGGCAAACCTCCTTGCTCCACTGGGGTGCTGCCTGTGGGGGAGGGGCCAGAGAGGGAACAATGCAGCTCTCCTGCTCATCTCTAGCCCACTTTTCAAAGAGCTTTCATGTGAGACTGGGAGTTTCTCTCACCTCGGCAACTGCTGTAGTCTGCAGCCACCTCTGAGTCTCAGTTTCCCCTTAAGTCAGCTCTTCCCACAAAGTCTGCAGCCAGCCCCACCCCCGCTGTCCACTGCCTCACTGAGGTTGCTCTCCATCTGCCACCTTACTGGTCTGGTTGTTCTCTGTGATTGTTTGTTTAATTCCATGGTTGTCAGAGTTCCATGCAGTTTGATTTTCTGGCACTTCTGGTTGTTTACTGACTTCAGACTGGTTGTTATCCTTCTTTTGGTTGTGCAAGGAAATGAAGAGTTTCTGGAAACAACATTATCTTGTCATAGATTTTCATTTGGTACAGTCTGCCAATTATTATATGAAATTGTGATCACATAACTAGTTTGAACAGAGAAGAATTAAAAGATGGTAGTGGAATTTACCTTTAGTGGAACCGAAATATAAATTCAAGTAACTTACCTTCTAAACAGAGGTAAGTTATATTCACTCATATTTTATGTAGTTTCACTCATACTTTAAATAGTTTAGGAACTTTTACTTTTTCAAAGAAACCTGAGGAAGGGTTTTTAGAACTGTTAACCACCACCCAAGTTGTCTCTAGATGTAAATATCTACACTGAAACTAACATTGCTGCTAACTGTAACACAAGGTGGTTCTTATTTGTCCCTCCCCCACTCCAACTACAGGAGCGGCTTATCTCTCAAACTAAGATGGTTACAAGGGTGATGTTCCTGTATATTCCACTCCCCATGTTCTGGGCCTTGTTTGATCAGCAGGTAATATGAAACTGTGTTTTGTATATCTTCATGTAGCAAACATCCTTTGGTCACTACCACATACCAAGCCATTGTTAGTATCTAGCTCTTAAAAAGGTTCTCTTCCAGTTTCTCTTTTATTCATGTATTTGATCACTTAATCACATTGTATCTCTTTTTTAAAAAACAACTCTAGATGGTTCCATCTGTATCTCTGTTGCAAAACAAAGAATAAATTAGATGTGGTCAAGTGAAGGAGCCTTAGGAAAGATTTGATCAAAGTGTCCAAGACTCTTTCAAATCAAAACTGAGACTAAAGAAAATTTAAAAAAAGAAAAACTGAGGAAAAAAAGAAAATTAAACAAAAAACTGAGAAGAAGGAGTTTTTCTATTGATGCATCATGGTAAATGAATGTATTACCTTTTATGGGATCCACAGAATATTTAAACTGACAGGGACTTGTTATCTTCCTATGTAAAATGGAATGCTTGGTTTAGAAGTATCATCCAGGGATGGAAAGTCATTCTTGTTAGCACAGGGAACTAGAACGCTGATCACTGCCATGTCACCTGCTCTTTCTCCCACAGCTATAAGATGTGTGCCTAGGAATTTTTCAATACAGGGTTAGAAAATTCAATGTATGGTGCCTATTAATCAAAGTACTAAGATATTATTCCTTTTAGAAAATGGAATTTCAATAAAATTTTCAAACATGCATAATTTTATTGTGTTGGAAGGGTTATTATAAGGGTAAACCATCTCTTGGAAAAAAATTGAGTGTACACATTATTCTCCTTATTTGTAAGTATGGAATTTAGAACAGCATTTTAAAGACCAGGGAGGTGGTTTTGCATGTTGAATACAAAGCTGTTATTGGATTTGGACTTGCACTAGAAATACATTCATCACCTTTTAGCTGTGTGACTTGGGTTAATCTCTTAACCTGTCTGAAAGAGTAATAACAGATGGCAAATTTGTAAGGATCAAAATGGAGAACATATATAAAGTAACCAGAGACTGGCATATATGAAGAATTCAAACAATTAATGGTAATGGAAAAATATACAATAAAAAATGAGCTATTTATAAAAAGAAAAATAATACAAGCAGTGGTATATTTCATGGCTTTCTATGATGTTCTCCTAGTGGAGTTGATAGTTTATATGGACACATTTATATCTTTAGTTATCCATGGAAATGATCATTTGTACTTATACAGTCCTGAGTCATCTTTTCCTATAAAATGGGTTGAATGTAATCAGGCTGCCCAGGTTTAAATTTGTCAGTCTCTTCCTGGAATCACATTCTAGGACAGCCTAGCCTGTCAAAAATTATTCTTAGCAATAATAATGTTTTTGACACTATGATGCCAGTGAATGTAGAATATCCCCAGGGTGTAAAGCTACTTTTGCCTTACAGGTAATGTCTTGCCTCCCAACAAGCCTCAGAAATGCATTTTGCCCTGGCTGGTGTAGCTCAGTGGATTGAGCACAGGCCTGCGAACCAGACAATCGCGGTTCGATTCCCAGTCAGGGCACATACCGGTGTTGCAGGCCGGTTCCCTGCAGGCCACTTCCCAGCAGGGGATGCATGAAAGGCAACCATACATTGATGTTTCTCTCCTCTCTCCTTCCCTTCCCCTCTAAAGATAAATAAATAAAATATTAAAAAAAAAAAAAGAAATGCATTTTTGTCTTTCCTGAGGAAAGCTCTATCTCAAAGTAGTACTTTGCAGATTCCTTGTGGGGGTGGGGATACTATATGTTATGTTAACTTGCAAAGCAGAAATGCAAGTTATTTCTTCTCATCCAGTATTACAATGGAACTGGGAGACGAACTTGATGTTGAAAAAAATAATTGTAGATCCTGTAATATTTCAGACCTCCTTCCTGTTTTGAAAAGAACTCAATATTGATTGAGTTGTAAAATGTTTAAAACCCATGCTCCTAATGATGCAGTAAACTTGTTTGTTTTTAAGGGCTCAAGGTGGACACTTCAAGCAACAACTATGAATGGGAAAATTGTAAGTGTGAGCCATCAGGATATTTTAACTCCCCTGGTCACTATCTCTTTGTTTTAGTCCCTTTGTCCCCTTTCTCTTTTCCTTTCATGACATTTTTAACCCCCAAATTGATCATCTGTGGAAACTAGATGATCAATTCAATGAGACTCCCCCACCCCCATTTCTAGGGAAGTATTGAAATTCAGCCAGATCAGATGCAGGTAAGAGAAAATATTTAAATTGCTTTTGGAGATCAAAGTCACCTTCGAAACAATGGTAACACTTCATCTCCACTTTACCTGCAGACTGTCAATGCCATCTTGATCATCATCATGGTCCCCATCATAGATGCTGTGGTGTATCCTCTGATTGCAAAATGTGGTTTCAACTTCACGTAGGTGATGTTAGTGTTGGGATTGGTGGGAGCCTCCATTAGTCTTAGGGCTTCGCAACTAGACTGAACTCCCTCATCTTCCAGACCTCCATGGAAAGAAGTCTTTCTTCCTTCCCACAACACCAACTATATAATGGGGCTTTTAAAGAAATACATTTGAATTAGATTTTTATGTGCTGATGTTTGTGAAAATTTGTCCTTAAAATAAAAGTGCTATTAACAGCAGCCTGTAAAAGCCTGTAATTAAGGCTCTCTTATATATATTGAAGATTGTTCAGAACAGGCTTCCCCAGGATGTACCACTTTGGCCCACAGAGTATTTTCAGCTGAAGGCAATCTAGACCCTGCAGGCTCAGGAGAATTTTCTGACCCTCCCTACACTACCTAGAAGAATATAAATTGGGGGTCTTGACCTGAAAGCAATCCAGACCCTATGGGCTTACAAAAAACTTTTACCTCTCCCTTAAGTAATTTAAATTTGGGGACTTTCCCATAATGGGTCATTACCAGAAATAACTTTTTATGACTTATCTATATGGCAGGGTAAATATCTAAATTACTGAACACCTGCTTCTTTTATCATCTTGCAAACTGTGCTTCTCCCCTCTGAAGTCCCAAGGCATCTTTCATCGTTCCTTGACTCAGGATGCCACATATACCTCATTTTCCCTTTCTGTCTCTGAATTTCTCATATATGTGGGGTTCCCATACATATGTATGCAATTAAATTTTGTTACTTTCTCTTGTTAATCTCTTATTAAATTGACATGAGATACATGTCAATTTAATTATTAAACCAGCAGAAAGAACCCAGAAAGGTAAAGAAAAATTTCTTCTTCCCACATAATATAGACAATAGAAATGTTAACTATAATTCAAAGTATCACCAGGATTATAATTTCTAGAAATTAAATGTAAAAATGTAAATGAGAAGCTGTATTACATTTAGCATCCCTAGTCTTGGTGATGAAAAACAGATGAAGAGATGCTCTCAATCTCATGTATGTTGTGAGGGAAGTTAGTTTTGTTTGGGGGGATTGTAGGAGAGGAGTGGTTCTTTGGGGAATTTATCATTAGCTTTTTTGTTTGAAACTGATTGGAAATCACTCTCTTGCTTGTCCCATCAGCTCCTTGAAGAAGATGACAGTGGGAATGTTCCTGGCTTCCATGGCTTTTGTGGCAGCTGCAGTTGTGCAGGTGGAAATTGATGTGAGTTGCCCTCTGATTCTCCAGTGGCCTTTCTTAGCTTAGGTGGGGTGTTCAGAAGTCTTCTTTTTCTAGGACTAAAAGGATTAGGGGAGGCCATGATTTTTGCTGATAAAATAAGTTCTGGAGATATGGATGATCTACTAAGGGGCAAAATAGTCCCTTCCGACAGCATGGGTCCATGCTGGGTTCTTAGCTCTGCAAAGGATGCCAGGAATAAAGTCAAATGGGTACACTTAATTAGGAGAAAAACTAGACAGAAGTTACATAAGGAGCTTCCATTGCAGTTCTTATAATGGGAGAGAAGTTTATGGAACTTGTTCTTTTATGAACTCCTAAGAGATCTAGTTAAAAGAAATTCATCACTCACAAATTACTTCAAAACTGTATAAATTATCTTTTTGATGGGTATCTTGGCTTTTGTATTCTAAGTTTCCTTATAATGGTTAGTTCCCAAGCTAATTTACATGTCTATTGAACACACAATGGGACTAAAGTAGGCTTTTAATGCCCTTAGTCTGAGATCAGGTCCTAGAAACCTGATATCTCTCTCTCTCCCTCCCACACCCATTCTCACTCTCTCTCCCTCATTCCCTCATTCTTTCTCTATTTTTTAATTTTATTTTTAACATATTTTATTTATTTTTACAGAGCAGGGAATGGAGGAAGAAAGAGAGAAATACTGATGTGTGAGAGATACATTCATCAGTTGCTTCTCACATGCCTCTCTTTTGGGGACCTGGCCTGCAGCCCAGGCATGTGCCCTGACTAGGAATCAAACCAATGAACTTTTGGTTCATAGGTCAGCACTCAGCTCACTGAGCCACACCAGCCAGAGCTCTATTTTTTAATTTTTAATTGTGATTAAGTATACATAACAAAATTTACTATCTTAATTGTGTGTATATGTACAGTTCAGTAGTGTTAAGTACACTCACATTATTGTGCACTTAATCTTTCAATGCTTTATATCTTCACAAACTGAAACCTTATATTCATTCAACAACTCCTCATTCCTCCTCCCCACTCTATAACCCCTCGTAACTACCATTCTACTTTGTCTTTATGAATTTGAATATTGTAGGGACTGTATTAAGTGAAATCATACAGTATTTGTCTATGACTGGCTTATTTCACTTAGCATAATGTTCTCAAGATTCAACCATATGAAACGTGTGTTAGAATTCCCTTCCTTTTTAAGGCTGAATAATATTCTGTATGGATATAGCAAATTTAAGGCTGAATAATAATCTATATGGAAATAACACATTTTACCCATTCATTTGTTGATGGACACTTGGTTTGTCTCACCTCTTGGCTATTATTAATAATGCTACTAAGATCATAGGTGTACTCACTTTCCCTTGAACATAGCTAGTCTTGTGGAAAATGAATTGTGGGGCTAAAATGAAATAGATTGCTTTAGTGACACTGGAATTTGAGGGAGGACATGTAGGGAAAAGGTAGAAACCCTGAGGCAGGAGGGCATAAAGCATTTGTGAGAGACTGTTTAGAGTACCAGTCTAGGGCTGATGTCTGGGCTTCCGGAGGTACAGGGGAGGCATCCAGGGAAAGCACATCTCAGGTGCCACAAGATAGGCATTCATTTAAACTATGGTTACTCTGACCCCCTCAGATGTTAAGCTTTATAACTTAGCATCCCTTGACCCAGAGGTAGATGGGTAGATCCAAGATATGAACAAGAACAGCCTCTTTCTCATTACATCATTTTCTGTGGGTGCAATAAAGTGAGAGATTAGAGGCTTGGCAGAGGACTATTTAGTGCACCTTAGCCAGCACAGCTTTCCATGGCTGGGGAAAGTGACAACAGTGCCATGATTAAATTATATTCTATACAAACTGAAGACCTCACTTCAAATTATGTTTTATTTTGCTCAGAAAACTCTTCCAGTCTTCCCCAAAGGAAACGAAGTCCAAATTAAAGTATTGAATATAGGAAATGATAATATGACTATATATTTTCCTGAAGAGACAGTGCACCTTGTCCAAATGTCTCAGGTAAGTAGAAGGAACTGCAGTTTTCTTTTTAATCATCTGATCTGAGTTATAGTAGAATTTGTGGGACCTGATCTTCTTGGTCCTTGTATAAGAGAAGCTCAGAAGTGAAATGTCTTATTATCTTGATCTCCTTTTGGCTTCACTCTGGACTGGGGGAGGCTCTGCCCACAGAGATTCCCCCAGCCACTGCAGATGAGAATAAGTCTACCCAGACATGATCTGCTTGAGGAAGAAACGCTGACCAGTAGTCTCTCAGAGGAGAAAGGTGTTTAGCTTCTTTGTCAATGGGCTTTCATTGAGGTTAGCTTGCATAGGGATGCATATCAGAGAAAGGAGGTATGGTTTACAGGTAACATTTCTGGGATCATGGGGGTCTTTTTGAGTCAAGATCTGGTAGACAGGGTGACACCAGTTGGCTGTGAAACCTTAGGAAACAAACTTATTTTGTGCTTGGACCTGTAACATTTAAATTGAGGACATTCGAGGTACGTTCGTTACATTACTCCTTTCTGCCAGTGGACGCCGCTGAGTAAGCATCATTGAAATTCTCTCTTCTGCAGTCGTCATGTCTAAGTCAGAGTCTCTCAAAGAGCCAGAACAGCTATGGAATCTCTTTATTGGAGATTTGAGTCTTGAAACAACAGATGAGAGTCTGAGGAGCCACTTTGAGCAATGGGGAACACTCACAGACTGTGTGGTGATGAGAGATCCAAACACCAAGTGCTCCAGAGGCTTTGGGTTTGTCACATATGCCACTGTGGAGGAGGTTGATGCAGCCATGAATGCAAGGCCACGCAAGCTGGATTGAAGAGTTGTGGAACCAAAGAGGGCTGTCTCAAGAGAAGATTTTCAAAGACCGGGTGCCCATTTAACTGTGAAAAAGATTTTTGTTGGTGGTATTAAAGAAGACATTGAAGAATGTCACCTAAAGGATTATTTTGAACAGTATGGAAAAATTTGAAGTAATTGAAATCATGACTGACTGAGGCAGTGGCAAAAAGAGAGGCTTCGCTTTTGTAACCTTCGATGACCATGACTCTGTCAACAAAATTGTCATTCAGAAATACCATACTGTAAATGGCCACAACTGTGAAGTAAGGAAAGCCCTATCTAAGCAAGAGATGGCTAGTGCTTTATCTAGCCAAAGAGGTTGAAGTGATTCTGGAAACTTCAGACATGGTTGTGGAGGTGGTTTTGGTGGGAATGACAACTTTGGTCATGGAGGAAACTTCAGCAGTCGAGGTGGCTTTGGTGGTAGCCATGGTGGTGATGGATATGGTGGCAGTGGGGATGGCTATAATGGATTTGGTAATGATGGAATCAACTTTGGAGGTGGTGGAAGCTACAATGATTTTGACAATTACATCAATCAATCTTCACATTTTGGACCCATGAAAGGAGGAAACTTTGGAGGCAGGTGCTCTGGCCCCTATGGTGGTGGAGGCCAATACTTTGCCAAACCATGAAACCAAGGTGGCTATGGTGGTTCCAGCAACAGCAGTAGCTATGGCAGTGGAAGAAAGTTTTAATTATGCCAGGAAACAAAGCTTAGTGGAAGAGGAGAGCCAGAGAAGTGACAAGGAAGCTACAGGTTACAACAGATTTGTGAACTCAGCTGAGCACAGTTGTGGCAGGGCCTAGCGGCTACAAAGAAGACATGTTTTAGACAATACTCATGTGAATGGGCAAAAAAACTCAAGGACTGTATTTGTGACTAATTGTATAACAGGTTATTTTAGTTTCTGTTCTGTAGAAAGTGTGAAGCATTACAACAAAGGGTTTTTAATGCAGTTTTTTTTTCCTTTTTGCACCCATGCTGTTGACTGCTAAATGTAATAGTCTGATCATGATGCTGAATAAATGTGCCTCCAAAAAAAAATTAAGGACATTCTTAGCAAAGCAGGTCTCACAGGACTTTATGCATTCTTTCTTAGGCCTGATCACCCCCCCTCCCCGCACTGGGAATCATCAGTTCTGGCACAGGGCTGCACCCCTCTTCGGCATTGTTTCAGGCCTGAGTCAGGTGGGGGAAGCAAGGCAACCAAGATATTAGGAGAGTTTTTGCAGGTAGAATGAGGATTCAGGCTAGGATAAAGCCAAGGGGTAGGGGTTTTTTTGATTCTTCTCCACAATACCCTAAGTCCTTCTCTGATGGCACCTTCACAACTGTGCCTGTCTTAGGTTGTTACTTTCTTGAGGAATCTTACAAGTCATTGACTATCCAGCCATCCTTCAGGGGCCAAGCAAGGTAAAGTAAAGGGGGTGGAGGCTGTACCCCTGCCAGGAGGATGTTTTGTTTCCTTAGTGGCTTATGATCCCAAGTCCCCCTAGCTGTGAGGCCTTTTCCCATTTTTGTGGGATTACAGCTTCTGAAACCAGGTAGGATGGTTCCCAACACTGGACAAATGCACATCAAACTTTAATGTGCATGTGAATCACTGAGGGAGCTTGTTAAAATGCAGATTCTTGATTGGTAGGTCTTTAACCTTCATTTTTAAGAATCTTTTAGGTGATGTTGCTGCTGGTAGTGCATGGACCCACAATTTAAATAGCAAAGGCTGTGTCGATCGTCTTCCACCAGGAGCAATATATAATGGGAGAAAGTTTATGGAACTTGTTCTTCACAACATTAGCTCCTAAAAGATCTGGTTAAAAGAAGTTCAGCATTTACAAAGTACTTCAGAAATGTGTCTTTTTGATAGACTTCCCTTTTGTGTTCTAACTTTTCTAATAATGATTAATTTCCAAGCTAATTCACATGCCTTTTGGACCCACAACAAGGCTAAACTAGACCCCTAATGTCCTTAGTCTGAGATCAGATCCTAGAAATTGGATGTTACATAGTTAAGGGACATCTGACGATTTCTGGAGGCATTTTTGTTGTCACATCTGGGAGTGCTATTGACATCTTCTATGTACACAGTACCCCATCCCAACAAAGAGTAATCTGGCTCCATGTGTCAATAGTGCCGAGGTTGGAAAAACCTGATACAGACAGTCACTGGTCTGGATTAAAGGTTCTCAGTCTTGAGTCCATATTGCAATCTCCTGGAAAGCTTTGAAAATTCTGATACCTGGGCCCCACCCCCACAAATTTTGATTGAACTGACCTCATTCCTGTTTAGACATAGTTAAGAACTACTACCTTAGACTTGGCCAAATGAATAATCTCAAAGAAAAAAGAAAATTTGACTCCTGATGTTAGGCACAGCCTAGTATTTATTATCTCCATGGCTGATGTTCCTCTTTGCCCAATGATAGACCTGATTTCCATAGCATTTATCTTGATAAAACAAAAGCAAAGTGCTGGATGAAAACTATAATTCCTCTGGTAGTACTAAGCAACCTCATGGGAGGGTCCTTGAGGGTGAGGGGCTAAGACAAACCAATGCCAGCTCCCCCAAGGCATTTTTCAATGTGTTTGAACATGCACTGGCAATGTCAAATAATATGCCATGACAGTGTTCAATGACACAGTGCAGAGAAAGATTCTGTGGTATTAATTATGACCCCTTTTCCTGTTACAGACTAATATATTTAGGACTTTTGATGTGGACAAACTGACAAGTATAAAAATTTCTTCTGCTGGATCAGCAGTTACTCCAGTAACTCATAACTTTGAGGTGGGCCATCGTTATACCCTTCTAGTGTGGAACCCCAACCATTACCAAGTGGTAAGTAGCAGGATACCTACAGCTGACTTTATTTGTTATATGTCATACTGAATACATGGTCTTTTAGTGGTGTGACTTTGTTTTACCCCTATGTAGTTTTACAATTGATAAATGTAATTTACTTATTCCTCAATAAATTTATTCCTCACTAAATTTATTTATTCCTCAATTTCTTCCTTCTTTAAAGATACAAGTCATTCAACTTCCAATAAAAGTTTAACTGGTGGATGGAAGGGATTAATATTAAATTTTTTTAAAAGAACTTTTGAGTGTAGTGTGTGTCCATGTGTGTATACATATATACAAGTCACACAGGGTACATATGTGCATTCTCAGTGACTTTTTGAGGTGAAGTTTAAAATATATCTTTAATTGCATAAATTTTAAAATTTCACTGAGCAATTGGAAAATTGGAGCAGTTTTTATAAAAAATACAGTGAATATTTTAGGTATAAGCAATAAAAATACATATAAATATTTCATTACAAATATAGGTATCTGGATATGCCATTCAGCATATGAAGCAGTTTTGAAGATGTAGTTGAGCTAAATGAAGGAGTTGTGGATATTCTGTAAAGTGAATTTAAGTGAACTTCCATAGAACTGCAATATAGAGTTAGGACTTCTGGATCATGTGTTTAATTAGGGAGCTGTTGAATGGCAAATTCTACATTCTCAGAGAGTAATATTCTGTGGAACCATTGGAAATCAAGCATGAAAAATTGTATAGGTTCATGTTAACTTCAAAGAAAACCAGGGCTGAAGGATAGAGTCCTGCAAATGTAATCATTATGCCCTCAGCTTCCAGGATAAATGTCAACATCATTCTCCTTTTCAGAGGCTGAAATGTAATCTAAATGTATTATAATGGATGAGATTTTTAAATGCTTTCTTTTTCAGGTAAAGGATGGCCTTAACCAGAAGCCAGAAAAAGGACAAAATGGAATCAGGTATATGTATTTTTTTTAATTTCACCTATATCAGCTTCTTATGGAAGTAATGCATATCCATGGTAAAGTCCAACTTATAGGATATAAAATGAGAGTATGGGTTTATTAAAAGAAAGTAAATTTGGTTCAATATTTTTAAAAATTACTCAATATAATTCATTACCTTAATAAACTAAAGAGGAAAATGTATAAAATCATATCAATCGATGTAGAAAAAAAGCATTTGATAAAAGTCAGTATCCACTTATGAGAAAAAACTCTCAGCAAACTAGTCAACTTCCTTACTCAGGAAATGGCATCTAAAAAAATCCCCAAGTTACCATTATACTTAATGATGAAAGTCAAAGTGCTCTCCCCATAAGATCTGAAACAAGGTTAGACCTTCTACTCTCTTTACTCCTATTCAACATCCTTTCGGAGGCTAATGCAATGTGATGAGAAAAAGGAGTAAAAATATCTAGATTGAAAGGGAAGAAATAAAACTCACTATTCACAGATATATAATTATCTTCAGAGAACATCCCAAGGACTATACAAAAAAACTCATGGAGCTGATAAGTAAGTTTGAAAAGAGTCCATGATACAAGGCCAACCACAAATCAAACATATTTCTATACACCAACAGTGACTGATTGGAAACTAAAACTTTAAATAGCATGAACAATAGCTCCAAAAAAGGATGAAATACTAGTTATAAGGAAACATATAAGGAATTGAGAATTGAATACAAAAGGCTTATGAAAGAAATCAATGAAGAGCAAAATAAATGGACAGATATATGCTGGGTTCATTAATTAGAAAACTTAATATTGTAAAGATTTCAGTTCTCCTCAAATTGATCTATGGATTTAGTACAATTCTCATCAAAATCATAGCATTATTTCTTGTTTATTTCTTCCAGTTTTATTCTGTTATAACTGACAAAATTGCATGTATTTAAAGTGTACAATATCATGATTTAGTATGTGTATCCATTACGAAGTATTTACCACAATTAACACATCCATCACATCACAGTTAACCTTTTCTTTTTTGTGATAAGATTGCTGAAGATCTATTTACTGAGTAAATTTCAAATATACAGTACAATGTTATTACCTATGGTCACCATGTTGTACATTAGATCCTCAGAACTTATTCATCTTAGAACTAAAAGTTTATACCCTTTAATCGACATCTCCCCATTTCCTAACCCTTACACTCGGGCAACCACCATTCTCTCTCTATTCTATGAGTTCAGGTTTTTTTTTTAGATTCCATATATAGATGATACCATACAGTATTTGTCTTTTTCTGACTGGCTTATTTCACTTAGCAGAATGCCCTCCACATCCATCCATGTTGTCACAATAGCAGAATTTTTTTTCTTTTTAGGGATGACTAATATTTCATTTTTATATATATTATGTATTATATACATAATGAAAAATTTAATATATATGAACATATTGATAAGTTGGATTTCATCCAAACTATAAACTATATATCTCACTGTTCTATATATCTCACTGTTAAGAGAGTGAAAGGTTAAGCTACATACTGGTAGAAAGTATTTACAAATCACATATCTGACAAAGAATTTGTATCCAGAATATATAAATTACTCTCAAAACTCAATATAAAAAAACAACCCAATTAAAAATAGAGCAAAAGAATTGACTGGGGGGAAGATGGTGACAGAGTAGAACGGAGCAATTTCCAGCTCCTGTACAGGTGGGTGAAAATCCTGGCAGATCTACTCAGAAACAGCACAATAAACCAATGGGTCCCCAGCATTCATGAAATTAAAAGATCAGAGATTGTGATGGACGCTGAACAACCAGACAGTGGCAGGTCAGTGGGGTCTGGGAGATCTAGGTAAAGACAAGAGCTGCAGTCCGGGCCGGCGCCCAGGGCCAGGTGGCCCTGGTGCTGCCTCCGAGGTCAGGGTCCAGAGGCATTGGTCTGAGACCAGCACCAGAGGCGTCTGCCACAGGATCCCGGGCACCCAGTGGCCTTGGTAGGCGACAAGCACTGGTCAGCAGCTCCCTCCCTCCCCATCTAAGCAAGGCTGGGCAACACCGGCAGAGACCTGTCTGATTGCGTTTACTGGGAGGGTTACAAAGACAAAGGGCCGTGTTCATCTGCAGACTGTGTAGTCGCCAGCCTGGGAGAATTGAGAAGTGCACTGTGTCATCGCTCTGGCTGGGGATTGGGCTGGGCTGAGAGGCAGGCTGTCTGGAGAGGATTGTTTTTTGGAAAGTGGACTGAGGTGTTCTCCTGCCAGGGCAGCTAGGCTTGCGTCCCACCCAGCCTGTCAGCGATGCAGGGGGGGAGCGGGGGCATTTGAGTCCTGCCACGGGATGGGGCAAGAGCCTGCGCCACCATCCCAGGCCAGAGAGAGGTCCTGCTACAACCAGAAAAACCGGTTTGGACAGTTTAAAACCAACATGGGATGTTTTTCATTGTGGTTGTTGGTTTTTTCCTTTCTTTAAACCTTTTTTCCTTAGTAATCTTAAATTTTTTAAATTTTATTATTGCTTTATCTTTCAATACTTCGTTTCTCTCCTTTCTTTTTTCCTGTTTTGGTCCTTCTTCCTTTCTTCACAAACTTACTGATTTGCCACCCGTCTCCTGCCTTTTTTTGTAGGTTTGCTTTTTATTGCTTTGTTTTCTTTTACGCACAAGAGACACAATCTACTGGGAACTAAGAAAACACCAGAGTGGAACCCAAAGAGGGGGCATCTCCACAATAGAGACAGAAAGACAAATTTCATTTTGCTATAGTAGAGAAGCCACAAGTTGCTGCATATTTTTCTTCATTATTCTCACTTCTTTTATATTTTAATAATATCTTTGTATTCCTCCTCTTTCTGTATAGGCTTCTTAATCTTGGCTGGTTATTTTCTTTTTTTTTTTTATTGATTATGCCATTACATTTGCTCTATTCCCCCCTTCCTTCCCCTCCACCCTGCATACCCCTCCCCCACCATTGCCCCCTTTAGTTCATGAACATGTGTCTCAAATTCTTTAGATTCTGTATTTCCCCTACTATTCTTACCCTCCCCCCTATCTATTTTCTATCTACTGTCTATGCTACTTATTTTCTGTACCTTCTCCCCCCTTCCCCTCCTCCCACTCCCCTGTTGCTAACCCTCCATGAGATCTTCATTTCTATGGTTCTGCTCCTGATCTAGCTATCCTCTTAGTTTGCTTTTGTTTTAGGTGTGGTTCTTAATAACTGTGAGTTTGCTGTCCTTTCACTGTTCATCTTTTTTTCTCTTCTTTTTCTTAGGTAAGTCCCTTTAACATTTCATATAATAAGGGCTTGGTGATGATGAACTCCTTGAATTTGGTCTTATCTGAGAAGCACTTTATCTGTCCTTCCATTCTAAATGAAAGTTTTGCTGGGTAGAGCAATCTTGGTTGTAGAGCTTTGGTTTTCATGACTTGGAATACCTCTTTCCAGCCCCTTCTTGCCTGCAAGGTCTCTTTTGAGAAATCTGCTGACAGTCTGATGGGAACTCCTTTGTAGGTGACTGTCCCCTTAGCTCTTGCTGCTTCCAGGATTCTCTCCTTCATTTTAATTTTGGCTAATGTAATTATGATGTGCCTTGGTGTGTTCCTTCTTGAGTCCAACTTCTTTGGGACTCTCTGAGCTTCCTGGATTTCCTGGAAGTCTATTTCCTTTGCCAGATTGGGGAAATTCTCCTTTATTATTTGTTCAAATAATTTTTCAACTGGTGGTTGTGCCTTTCCCCCTTCTGGTACCCCTATAATTCGGATGTTGGAACGTTTAAAGGTGTCCTGGAGGTTCCTAAGCTTCTCCTCATTTTTCTGAATTCTTATTTCTTCATTCCTTTCTGTTTGATCATTTTTTTCTTCCATCTGGTCCTCTCCCTTGATTTGAGTCCCAATTTTCTTTCCATTACTATTGGTATCTTTTGTATCAGCATTCATTTCAATTAATTTAGCTTCCATATGTTTCTCTAATTTGTGACTAAAATCAACCAGTTCTGTAAGGATCCTTATAACCAGTGTTTTGAACTGTGCATCTGAAAGACTGGCTATTTCTTCATCACTTAGGTCTATCGGTTCTGGGGCTCTGAGTTGTCCTAGAGCCATTTTTGGTCTATTCGTGCTGTTAAGTGAGCGGAGCGAAGCCTTAGTTGTTTACCAGGACGGGGCGACCCAGGTCGCTGGTTTGTGACGCTGTGTGTGGGGGCGGGGTCAGAGAGGGAGCAATGGCGTTCCTCTCCGCTAGCCCAGTGCATCCAGTCACTCACACGCCTCGGGCTTGCTTATCCGATCCTAATTGTGTGAGCCTGCTGCACCACGCGGGTTTCCCTTCTCACTGGTTTCTCCGCATGTAAATGCGCGCGACCGACCGACCCACCGCGCCTCTTCCCTGTGCGCTCCGGCAGCCAGCTCGCTGGCAATCAGCGCCCTCGGTTGCCTGCGCTCACCGCGCACCGCCCGGGAATTTTTTCTTGCTAACCTGCTCCGCTGCTGGCCTCGCTCCTCGTACCGGTCCAGCCGAGTATCTAGTTGTCCTTTGGACTCCGTATTGTCGATTTTCCCTGTGGCTTGGTTGTGACTGCTGTTAAAAATAGTTGTTCTTAGATTTGGTTGTGCACAGAGGTGAGGTGGATCCTCCACCTACTTCTCCATCTTGGCGGAAGTCTTGGCTGATTATTTTCTATTATTTGACAGGTTTGCCTGTTCTCTCCTCCACAGTGTATTGCTAATCCTCTATACTTTACACCACTTGTTTTCCTTTAGTGCACTACCCAAAGCTCTATACCCCTTATTCAGACAGCTCACATAGAGTCTGTCATATGATTCTTGCTCTAATATTATTGTAAATAATAGCTGTTCTATACAACTGTAAATACTTCACAACCCATCTCCCGGATCTTAGCCCACTTGACAGGTTCCTGAATTCTATTACTGTAGTGATTAACTCTATTTGCTCACACACTACACCTATTTACTATTCTTTACTCTCACCTTACCAAAAT